AGAATTGTGTATAGTGTTTTACAAGTGTTGAAGAATATGTAAATCCACAATCTTTCTTATACATGCTAAAATCTCTTAGGAAAACAGTTGGCATTATCTCCTAAAAGTGAACAGTCACATGTACTATGACCCAGTAGTTTCACCTATAGGTATATACCAAAGAGAAAATGTTGCCCATGTGCAAGAATGTTCTACCCTTTAATGGTAGAATGGATGGATAAATAGTCTTTCCATTAACAGGAGAGTAGATGAAAATATCCAACAGAATATTATACAGTGGTCAGATTGTGTAACTATAGCAAAACATAGCAGTATGATTGAATATCAGTAAAATAAATGCCAAAAGATGACACGTAGTATAATATTATTTTTATACTGCTAAGAACAATTAACATAGAAGTACATGTATGAATATGAATAATGTGTGTGCACACATGTATAGATAAAACTGAAAGATGGAAAGAAGGGAAGTTTGAACAAGGTATTCAGGATATTGGCTATCTTGAATGTGGAGAAGCAATGAGTTGGTGAGGGTGACTATATGATTAGATGAAAGTCATTGTCAAGGTCCTGACTTTTTGTTTGAGTGGACTATTTATAGGTGCTTTTTATATTGTTACAAACAGTAATTAACTGAAAAGAGGCCGTTTATGGGCCAATGAAGGCTGAATGTCATGAGCCAGGTATAATGATTATTGCATTTCTGTATACCTAAGTTCTAATTAAAGAAAGATATATTATCCTGTATGTATAGCTACGTAAATAATATTTTAAAATCTCTGTAGATATAACCACCAAAATGGTATACTCATGAATGTTTATTTTTGCCTAACTTAGAAGATCTTCTTTTTTCCCCGAGTTTTATATGCTATTTTATATGGAGATTTCCTAAAAAAATGCATGTAGCTTGACCAACTGGAATACTTAGGGCATAGGTTTTTCTGTATAATTGAATTTTTTAGCTTAGTTAGAAATGCCATTTTTGAAAAGTTTTTCTGGATCGTCGTATTAGTTTACTTTTCTACAGTATTAAGAAAATGATGGCATATGAGTGATTCATGATTGGATTTTTTATAATGTTTCATTATAACTAACTATTATTTTCAAGGGTACCAGAGGTTCTGGCCAGGCTTAGAACATAATCCTGGAATTCGCCCTTTTCACTAGATCCTTAATATGAAGTTGTTTTTAGGTCTTCTGTCTTCTAAAAGTTATGTTTCCCCTTCTCCCCACCTCTTTCTAGTTATTTGAAATTTTATTGATTGAACTTTTGCTGTAATTTTTCAGTTTCAGATTATTCTGGCTCTGGCTCTGCCCTGCTCACATTATTTCAGAGTACTAATTCATTCACCATGTATTTATATACCTGCTTTGTTACAGGCACTTTGCTAGGTATACATTCATTAATCCAGTAATCGTAGTAATCAATGTGTAGTTACAAAGTGACGTAAGAGCTGTTAAAGTAAGTTAGCTGCTTCGGTGGGAGCAAAAAGGAACCTGCCCTAGGCTCAGGGAAGTGAGTGACCTTTAAGGTGAGATCTAAAGGATGACTAGCAACCAGTCAAACGGTGAGGTATAAGGGTCATGGTTCAGGTTATTGGAAACGGCTTATACAGTGGTGCTGGAGCAGGAGGAAGCTCAGTGTGTGTGGTCAAATAGCTGAAAAATAGTGTGTGACTGGAGTGTTGGGAATCAAAGGTGAGCTAAAAGGAGGGATATGCAGGGGTCTGATTTATTCAGGACTTAAGAACAGTGGGAAGCCCCTGAGAGTTTTTAGTTAGGCTACTCAAGATCAGATTTGTGTTTTGTAAAAAAAATATTTGTTTAATGTCTGTCTTCAGGCTAGACTGTAAGCTCCACAAGTAGAAGGGCAACTATGGAACTCATCTAGTATAATACAAGTAGGCACTCAATAAATATTAAGTGTCACCATTTAATTGTTTGGAAATCTTGGGTATATATATATATATTTTTTAACCTTTCTAATGTTTAGTTTCTTCAACTGTAATACTGAAAATATCTCATAAAGTTATTATGAAGATTAATGAAGCAACATATGTAAGGTACTTAGCATAGTTCCTGGTACATAGTAAGTGCCCAGTAAATGCCTTCAGTGAGGAGAGTGGCAACTGTGGAGTTACAGGTTTCATGAATACGGTAAAACCTGTGAAAGCCAGAACCTGTGTAAGGCGGAAACCTGTCAGAGAAGGAAAACTAAAATATTTTCCATTAAAATGAGCAATAGAAAAGTGATAAGCCTGCACCTTGTTAAAAGTGGAAAACTTGCACAAGACCTGGAAAAACAAGGCAGTCCTGTTGAGTTCTTGCTCTCACAGGTTTCACTGTATTTTAATCTAACAATATGGGTTGAAGACCCATGATATATTCTGGGAATCAGCATTAAATTTATTAATTAGAATCTTACCACTTCGTTTATGCCCCAAAAATGTACAGAGCAGAAAAGTGATTGAAAATTCTGTTAATAAATCAGATCAACCTACAGTGAGGTTATACAGTAGATGCTCTTTGCCCTATACTTTTCAGTTTATTTGATCAGAGTTTGGTGCCTGTTGAGATAGCTTTTATCTTACCTGCTTTTATTTTAGAGCCCTGGTGGTGCAGTGGTTAAGTGCTTGGCTGCTAACCAAAAGGTCTGCAGTTCAAATGCACCAGCTGCTCCTTGGAAACCGTATGGGGCAGTTCTACTCTGTCCTATAGGGTCACTATGAGTTGGAATCGACCCGACGGCAACAGGTTTTGTTTTGTTTTTTGTTTTTGTTTTTTGCTTTTCTTTTATCTGCCATTTCTGCTAGAGTTCTTAGGTAAAATCTCCTTTGCATTGTTCTTTAAGTAGTCTAAATTTTATTCCTCAGTTATACTTGTTTATTTTACATAAAGTGTGATACCTTGTTATATTTCATTCCAAATATTGGTTGCTATTAGAAATATTTCTTCTGAAAAATCTAGAATCTCTAGTTTTCAATATTGTAGCTTTAAAACCCTTTCATGCCTGGTGATACATATAGCAACCACAAAGTTTTTTCAGCCTTGGATTTATTGGGAAGCTGATGTACCACTGACAGTGTGTGCTGCCACAAGGCAGGGGCTTTTATGACTGTTTGAAACTGAAGAAACTTGCGTGTGCTGCAAATCACCGTCTTTACAGGGTATTGTATGAAGTGTCTGAATTTTTGGTAAAAAAAATAGAAATTTTGAAAATTTTTATTTGTTCTCATATGTACCAGTAGACCCTGGTGGGAACTTGGAGTATAATTAGTGGTAGTTCATATGTACCACTGAAGACTTAGGGTAGGCTTGTGGGTGGGGGCGAGAAAAAAACATACTACCTACCAAAAATTCAGACACACTCAGTGATTCAGCATGCTTCCGTTAATGAGAACACGTGGTATCAACAAAAAATTCAAAGCAGAAAATAATTGGGTCACCGAAGGGTTACTATTTTACATATTTGAAGTGTTTAATTTATTTATGTTATATCCTCTTAAAATTTATAGTATATAGTTTTATCACCAACTTCCTGGTTATTTTCCCCTCACTTTAAGAGGAAATAGTAATTAGGACCACCAGCTAACACCTACTTGCCTCGAGCACATAAATAAAAGGTGCCCCATCTGGTTGGACAAATTACCAAAAGGTTCCTCTGCTTCTGACACAACCAGTATCAAGATGCACTGACTGGAAGACGGGGTCTAGGCCATTTTTCAGCTCTCCCTTGTGCCTTCCGCTGGGTGTCTTTAAGTCACGCAAAAACTATACAGCTGATACTGCTTATAATCATCTAGACTATAGATAATTCTTTATGAACAAGGTAATCAATTTTAAAAGTAGAACAGTTGTTCTTTTATGTAAATGTTAAATGCAGTCTTCAGTTAAAACATTAAAATTATATTTAACTTGTTTTCAATGTCAAAACTTGATTTGGTAAAATTGTAGTAATGGGGAGGAGTTATAGATTTTTAGGAAAAACTTTATTTTGTCAAATAAAGCTAAGGTGTATGATTATTTTTTAATGTGTCAAAGTTTTGAGTGCCTAGGAGAAAGCTCTTTGGTCCTATATATACACACACATACACAAATATACACATATACACATATATAGGTATTTAACTCTTTATTGTGGAAAAATTTTAAAGTATACAAAAATAATGAAGCCCCATGTATCTGTCACTCAGCTTCAACAATTGTCAACTTACTGTTTTATCTGCTTCCTTTCACTTCCCCACCCCAGATTATTTTAAAGCAAATCCTAAACATTATATTATTAATTTGTAAACTCTTCCGAATCTACTGTAGAAGATAAGGTCTCTCTCTTTTTTTTTTTAAATAACATAAGCAGAATACCTTATTATACCTAAAAAACTAACAATAATATTACCAACCATCCAGTCAGTATTCAAACTTCCTTGATTATTTCATAAACGGTTTTAAAAGTTGGTTTGTTTGAATCAGAATCAAAACATCTATACATCATAATTGGTCAGTATTATCTCTTAAATTACTTTTAATCTATAACCCTCTCCCTCCCCCCTTTTGCCTTGTATTTTATTTGTTAAAGGGTGTTTGTCCACTTTCTGGATTTTGCAATTGCGATTGTCTACCTGTGGTATCATTTAACCTGTCCAAGAATATTTTTATTTTTGTTTAAATATACCTTACCTCATCTCTTTAGACTGTAAACAAATTTTTGTTTAAATGGAAAAGTAATGCCTAGTTTAGTTGTTGAAGAATAAAGGATTTCAAAGATTGTGTGAGCATGAAAGGGAGGATCTGAAGGAAAGACTATGATTCTCAGGAAGTAGATGAATTTTGTACAGCTCCATGTTTATAGTTCTGATTATTTTGATAACATTATATAATTTGTTCCCATTTCAAAATATTGTAAAACACTGGAATATAAAATTGTAGCAAGAGTAGATACACTAGGTTGATTTTGGCTAACATGATATTTCTTTATTAACTTTTTTCATTTACAAAAAAAGATACCAGGTGATCAGCACACCAACGGACTTTTTTATGGTAATGGAATATGTATCTGGTGGTGAATTATTTGACTACATCTGTAAACATGGACGGGTAAGTAACATTATCTAGTGCGTTACACCCCTAAGCTTAAACAGAGAAAAGTATTGGGAAAAAGCAGACCACAAATATATCTTCAAAATGGAGGTTGCTTCTTAATAATGCTTAACTAAACATACAGAATATTAGACAAATTTTCTTTTTTAAAAAATCAACCTTTCACAATACTGATTCTAGGAAATTTGTTCCACTTAACTGCCAGCATGATGATTGTGGTTTTCAAAGTGAGAAGTCTATTTCATAAGATCATGTTGAAGCTTCAGTAACTTCGTTTTCTTACCACTTGGAAAGAAATTCTGTTCCAGATTATGTTTTACTAGTGATTGAACATTGTGTGCATTTAGTAAATATTAATTGAACATTAAATATTACTGCCTAGCAGCAAAGAAAAACCTGTTGATTGACATGTTAAGTTTTGATGCAAGTTTTCGTTTTGTTTGTTTTGTTTTGCTGAGAATTTCAACACAATTTTAATGGGCTTACTCAATTATATTTAAGCTGATTATGAAATTAAAGCTCTTGCTGTGTAGATATCCCAGATATCCTTAGTGCAGTGTCTTTTATACTTGATAGGTTGAAGAGATGGAAGCCAGGCGGCTCTTTCAGCAGATTCTGTCTGCTGTGGATTACTGTCATAGGCATATGGTTGTTCATCGAGACCTGAAACCAGAGAATGTGCTCTTGGATGCACACATGAATGCCAAGATAGCTGATTTTGGTAGGTAACTCCAGGGGTGTTCAGAAATATATTAGCTGTCTTTTAAAATGTGTTAGTAACAACTTTTATGTAACTAAGAGCTTTCAGTTTCAACATTGTGAATTTTGTACCATGAAAAGGGATTAGTTGCACAGTCTCTATACTAAAAACATCCAAAAACATTGCTATCAAGTTGATTCGGACTTATGGTGACCCCATGTGTTACAGAGTAGAACTGTTCCGTAGAGTTTTCTTGGCTGTAATCTTACCGGAAGCAGATTGCCAGGCCTTTCTTTTGCATTGTCACTAGGTGGATTTGAACAGGCAACCTTTATGTTAGCAGCCAATTGCAAACTGCTTGCACCACCAGGGCTTCTTCTTTTTATTTAAACACACTTAAAAAAATGCAGATACTTCTAGAAAAGTTAGTGGGCCATGATCAAAATAAATCTATTGAATCTTCATTTCCTCCTAAAAAAATGATACTTAACTGTTTAGTGTCTTTTTGTGGTGGGGGTCACAAAATCCTTCGGAAAACTGATGAAAGTATGGGCACTCTCCCTGGTGAGTATACATGAACAGTTGTGTATGAAAATTTGCATGCAGTTTTGAAGCTTTATAATCCTTCTGAATCAATGTATGGAGAAGCTGATTCATCTCAGGGTAACATCTGTCCTAACAACTTGATGAGAGAATAGGAGTTTTTGTCAGAGGTAGAAGAAAAGGTTAAGTGTAATTTTTATGCTCCAAACACTTTCTTAGGTAACCATGCCTTGAATGGGTGCCATAGTAGGGTGTTTTGGAAAAGGATTAGGAAGTGAGAGATTACAGAACAGAGATGGAAAGGTGCAAAAGTTTATCATTGCTTATTTAAATTTTTTGTCTGTTCCTTGTCTTTAATCTAAAAACAGGAACCTAGTTTCCCTATTTGTCATCCCTCTCCAAATTATAAAACTCATTTAGTACTATAGTTCAGTTAAATTTTGTCCAAATAGATTTTTATTTTCTATGTTGAGTTAAAGCTTTCCAAATTGAAAACTTTTGGAACACAATTTGTTTATAAATTGGAGCCTGTCTGATTTGTACTCGAAGATTTTTTAAAAAGGCTTTTGAAAGTATAGTATAAAAAAGCAGTCATCTCTGTTTTACTTTTTCAATTGTAGAAGTGGGTAACTTATATACATGTATTTTTGAACACTTTATTGTGGCTTGGGTGAAAGTTTACAGAGCAAATTAGTTTCCCATTCAACAATTTATATACATTTTGTTTCGTGACATTAGTGTGTATACAAATGCATACATAGACGTATCCCCTGCCAAACTGATATTTGCTCACCGGTGTACTCCCATATACCTTCCCACACCTGTTCAGCTTTCATATCTATCTGTATATCCACTTGTAAATTACTGTTGTTATTACTGTTATTGCAGGATTTTGTGTGTAATAGTATTTACCGTTGTTTCCTTTTACTCTTGCATACCTCTCTGTCTTCCTTTGCCTTGGTCATGTTGTGCTGACTTATTGTGTATTCTTTCTCTCTTCACTCAAGTTAATATATGTCTACTATCTAAACCAGTGGCTCCGTGGGAGAAAGATGTGGCAGTCTGCTTCCGTAAAGATTTATAGTCTTGGAAACTCAATGGCAGTGGGTTTGGTTTGGTATCTAGTCAGTGATTTTCCCCTCCTCCCCCTCCCACCACTGATAACCATCAAAGAATATTTCTTTCTGTGTGTAAACCTTTTTATAATAGTGATCTCATACAGTATTTGCCCTTTTGTGATTAACTTATTTCACTCAGTATAATGTCCTCCAAGTTCATCCTTGTTGTGAGGTGTTTCTCGCATTTGTTGTTATTCTTTAATGTTGTGTAGTATTCCACTGTGTGTATGTACCACAGTTTGTTTATCCATTTATCTGTTGATGGGCACTTAGTTTATTTCCATCTTTTTTGCCATTGTGAATAATGCTGCAGTGAATATGGGTGTGCATATATCTATTCATGTCATGACTCTTATTTCTCTAGGATATATACTTAGCAGTGGGATTGCTGGATCATGTAGTATTTCTATTTCTTACTTTTAAATGAAGCACCATATTATTTTCCATAGTGGTTGTACCATTTCACATTCCCGCCAGCAGTGTACGAGAGTTCCAATCTCCCCACACCCTCACCAACATTTGTTGTTTTCTGTTTTTTGGATCATTGCTGTTATTACTGAGGTGAGGTTATATCTCATTGTTGTTTTGATTTACATCTCTCTAATGGCTAATGATCATGAGCATCTCTTCATGTGTTTGTTGGCCGCCTGAATGTCTTCTTTGGTGAAATGTCTGTTCATGTCCTTTGCCTATTTTTTAATTGGATTGTTTGTATTTTTGTTGTTGAGGTATTGAAGTTTTCTACAAATCTTAGAGATGAGTCCCTTGTCAGAAATGTTGTTGCCAAATTTTTTTTTCCAGTCTGTAGGTTCTCTTTTTATTCTTTTGGAGAAGTCTTTTGATGTGCATAAGTGTTGAATTTTTAGGAGGTTCCAGCTGTCTAGTTTATCTTCTGCTATTTGTACATTATTCATTATGTTTAGTAGTCTACTTTGCCATAAATTAGGTCCCCTAGGGTTGCCCGTATTTTTTCTTCCATGATCTTTATAGTTTTAGGTTTTACATTGAGGTCCTTGATCCATCTTGAGTTAGTTTTTGTGTATGGTATGAGGTATCAGTCCTGTTTCATTTTTCTGCAAATGGATATCCAGTTTTGCCATCACCATTTGTTAAAGAGACTATTTCTTCCCTATTTAATGGGTTTTGGCCCTTTGTCGAAGGTCAGCTGTCCATACGTGAATGGATTTACTTCTGGGTTCTCAATTCTGTTCCATTGGTCTATGTGTCTGTAGTTGTACCAGTACCAGGCTGTTTGACTACTGTGGCTGTGTAGTAGGTTTTGAGATTGGGAAGTGTGAGGCCTCCTACTTTGTTCTTTAGTAGTGCTTTGCTTATCCGGGGCCTCTTTCTTTTCCATATAAAGTTGGTGATTAGTTTTTCCATTTTGTTAAAGAATTTTGATGGAATCTGGATCTGCATTGCATTATACTGCAGATCACTTTGAGTAGTATTGACGTTTTTACAGTATTACGTCTTCCTATCTATGAGCATGTTATGTTTTTCCATTTATGTAGGTTTCTTTGTTTCTTGCTATAGTGTTTTGCAGTTTTCGTTGTATTAGTCTTTTACATTCCTGGTTAAGCTTTGTCGTGGATTGAATTGTGTACCCCCAAAAATTCTGTCAACTTGTCTAGGCCCTGATTCCCAGTATTGTGTGATTGTCAACCATTTTGTCATCTGATATGATTCTCCTGTGTGTTGTAAATCCCATCTCTATGATGTTAATGAGATGGGATTAATGGTAGTTATGTTAATGAGGCAGGACTCAGTCTACAAGATTAGATTGTTTTAAGCCAATCTCTTTTGAGATACGTAAGAGAGAAGCGAGCAGAGACACATGGGGACCTCATACCACCAAGAAACAAGAGCCAGGAGAATAGCGTGTCCTTTGGACCCAGGGTCCCTGCACTGAGAAGTTCCTTGACCAGGGAAACATTCATAACAAGGACCTTCCTCCAGAGCCTAAGTAAAGAGAAAGCCTTCCCCTGGAGCTGATGCCCTGCATTTGTACTTGTAGCCCACTAGACTGTGAAAGAATAAATTTCTCTTTGTTAAAGCCATCCACTTGTGGTATTTCTGTTATAGCAGCGCTGGATAACTAAGATAGGCTTATTCCTAAGTATTTTATCTTTTGAGGGGCTCTTATAAATGGTATTGTTTTCCTGATTTCCTTTTCAGAGTTCTCTTTGTTAGTGTAGAGGAATCTGATTGATTTTTGTATGTTGATCTTGTAGCCTGCCACTTTGCTGAATCCCTCTATTAGTTCCAGTAGCTTTCTTGTGGAAGTTCTCGGATTTTCTATGTATAGGATCATGTCATCTGCAAACAGGGATAGTTTTACTTCTTCCTTACCAATTTGGGTGCTTTTATTTCCCTTTCTTGCCTTATTGCTCTGGTTAGGACTTCCAGTACAGTGTTGAATAAGAGTGGTGATAAAGGACAACCTTGTCTGGTTCCCATTCTAATGGGGAATGATTTCAGTCTCTCTGTTGAGAATAATATTGGCCGTTGGTTTTATATATATGTCCTTAATTATGTTGAGGAATTATCTTTCTATTCTTATTTTGCTGAGAGCTTTTATCTGGAATGGGTGTTGGACTTTATCAAATGATTCTTTTCCTTTGTTTTATTTGTGTGGTGGATTACATTGATTGATTTTCCAATGTTGAACCATCCTTGCATACCTGGTATGAATCTCAGTTGGTCGTGATGTATTTTTTTTTTTCATATGTTGTTGGATTCTATTGGCTAAAATTTTGTTGAGAATTTTTGCTTCTGTATTCATGAGGAATATTGTTCTATACTTTTCTTTTTTAGTGGTATCTTTGCCTGACTTTGATATCCGGGTTATTCTTGTTTCATAGAATGAATTCAGGAGTATTCCATCTTTTTTCTAAGTTCTGGAATATTTTGAATAGAATTGGTGTCAGCTCTTCTCTGAATGTTTGGTGGAATTCTCCAGTGAAGCCATCTGGGCCAGGGCTTCTTTTTTGTTGGAGTTTTTTTTTACTTCTTCAATTTCTTCTTTTATTATGGGTCTGTTCAAATCTTCTACCTCAGTGTGTGTTAGTTTAGGTAGGTAGTATGTTTATAGACATTTGTCCATTTCTTCTAGGTTTTCAAATTTGTTGGAGTACAGTTCTTCATAGTATTCTCTTATGATCATTTTTATTTCAGTTGCTTCTGTTGTCACCCATCTCATTTATCATTTGTGTTATTTGCATCTTCTCCTTCTTTTTCTTTGTCAGTTTGGCTGGTGGTTTGTTGATTTATTAATCCTTTTGAAGAACCAACTTCTAGTCTTATTGATTCTTTCTGTTGTTTTTCTGTTTCATTAATTTCTGCTCTAATCTTTATTATTTCCTTTCTTCTGGTGACTCTGGGCTTTGTTTTTTGTTTTTTGTTTTTTTGCTACTCTTTTTCTATTTGTTGGAGTTGTAGGGTTAATGTTTTGATTTTGGTCCTTCTTTTTTGATGTGTGCATTTATTTCTATAAATTGACCTCTGAGCACTGCTTTTGCTGTGTCCCATAGGTTTTGGTATGTTGTGTTTTCATTCTCATTTGAGTCTAGGAATTTTTTAATTTCTTCTATTACCCAGTGATTTTTAAGCAGCATGTTACTCAGTTTCCATGTGTTTAATATTTTTTCTTAGTCTTTGTTACTAATTTTTAATTTTATAGCATTGTGATCTGAGAAGATGCCTTGTATTATTTTGATTTTTTAAAATTTATTGAGGCTTGCTTTGTGGCCTAACATATGGTCTTTTCTGGAGAATGATCCATGTGCCCTGGAAAAGAGTGCTTTAATTTTTGGCAAAGTTAACATCATTTGGAATAACCTCGTATTTGTGAAGTGAATCTATTTTTATTTAGAAAGGGAATTTAATTCCAGTTATACGTGGGATATGCTTTAGCTTTTTTGTCATAGTGTAAGCATTTTGAAATAGTCTCTTTCCAGTCTAACAAATGCTTTCAACTGCTTTTAAAAAATAATTTAAAAATACGATGTAAGAAAGAGTGTTGAAGATTTGAGATTTTTCCCCATGCATTTATCGACATCTACTTTAAAAAATATATGGCACAAGGTAAACATTACCTTTATTTTCAGGATTATCTAATATGATGTCAGATGGTGAATTTCTGCGAACTAGTTGTGGATCTCCAAATTATGCAGCACCTGAAGTCATCTCAGGCAGGTAATAATATATCAGCCAAGAAAATAAGCTTTTTGTAGTCCTTTGTTCATTCTGGTAACATCTAATTATAATTGATTATCTTTGGAAGATAAGATTTTTGCATAGCTGAAACAAATTGTCACTTTATTTTTCTGTTGTTGAAGGGTAGAATGGTTATATTAAAAAAATTTGAAAACATTTCATTTAGATTTTGTTATGAATGTTTTTAAGGAGTTTCCCATACTGAAACATCTTAATTTAACATCTCTTTCATTTTATAAGTGTGCAGATAAGACAGTAAGAATTTATTAAATTTAATCTAGTGTTATTATTTACTTATTAGACACAGTCCTTTAATAATACTTTACACATACTTTTATGAATACAGAGTATTGTTTTATATTTTATGTTTGGAAGAATGAAGTTTTTTTTGGATAATATTGTCATTTCATGAAATTAAACTATACAAGTGGAAATTGTGTAATTACTCTTGTAATTTACTCGTTGCATTTTTAAAATGTTTATACAGATTATAATGGTAAACTCATGTCTTTCTCCAATGACAAATTTCTGGTTAAAAAGTTAACAGATTTATATGAGAAAATCTAAAAAAGGTATTATTGTAAGTAGCAGATATAGGAGTTTGGATGATAAAGCAAATGATGTAAATGATGGACAACAGTTTTTATAGAAACATTATATTCCGTTAATTGGAATTGTGGGAGATTTACTTTTTTTTACTTCAGACGCAGGTTTGAGTTTGGCTGTGTGCTATTAGGGAAATTTTAACGCTGTAAAAAGGTTACAGAAAGGGAATAACATTCTAGGCATAAGTTATCTGGAGCAAAATTGAAGAAACTAATCTTAGTTGCAGAAGCTAGCAAGTGATCAGAATGAAAGTATTAGGTACTCAGGGTAAGATGATACCGAGTAAGTACTGTCAGAGGAAGTGTGACAGGACTAGTTAGATACTTTAATGTTTCCAGTATTCTTTAAAATTCTTAGCCCAGGCTAAGAATTCTATTATACGTACATTATCTTTTTTGTATGAAAAAATTTTAAGGTAAAAAGACTTAACCTATATGTTTTGTCAAGTTTAATGTCATGTACCATGATATTTCTATCAAAAATCAATCATAGAAAGTTTTATATTTTTTAATTAGTAAGTTTCAGTTGAATAAGTTTCTGACAAATAAAATAACATTTTCTCTTGGCAGACTTGAATAGAAATTGGTTAGACTGATTATTCTCTTTGGGGAACAACCAGTGAGTATTGGGGGATGGTCATGGACTTCATATAGGACCTTAGAAGTCAATATATCCTAATCCACACTATGTATATACAGAAGCAGAGTACATATGGATGAGAAAAGCTGACACTTGCCTCTTCAGATTTGTGTTGTCATCTTTTTGCTTAGACTGTATGCAGGTCCTGAAGTTGATATCTGGAGCTGCGGTGTTATTTTGTATGCTCTTCTTTGTGGCACCCTCCCGTTTGATGATGAGCACGTACCTACATTATTTAAGAAGATCCGAGGGGGTGTTTTTTATATTCCTGAATATCTCAATCGTTCTGTTGCTACTCTCCTGATGCATATGCTGCAGGTTGATCCTCTGAAACGAGCAACCATCAAAGACATAAGGTGACTGTTCTTTTTGTTACTGTTGTGCACATTTTCTAGTATTAATAATAGTACCACTAATTGAGTACCTGCTTTATGCTAGGCTCTGCAGCACTTTATTCTGTAAAGATTTTACTTCCTACAAAAACCTGATCATATCATTCATCTGTTAAATACTTAAGAGTGTTGATCAGATTTTCCTGTACAAGGCCTTTTATAGTAAAGCTCTACTTAACTTCTTCTGAAGTCTCATTTCCTACACTCACCACTACACTCCTTGTACCAGCCCTTCAGCCACACTGAAATCTTCCTTGTTCTTCAGACATAGCATATATTTTATGCCTTTGTTTGTATTATTCCCTTTGTATCTCATACCTTTTCTGCCTTTTTGTGTCCTGCTAGATTTCCATTCGTCCTTTAAAGTTCTGCTCACATATCACCTCCGTTGTGAAATCATCTCTGATTGCCCCAGGCAATGCTAGTTGCTTCCACTTTCATTCTTACATTGTATCTAGTTATTTCTTAATGTGTCTGTCTCCTTTCTTAAACTGTTAACTACGTAAGGGTAGAGAGTGTGCCTTAGTGTGTCTTACTCATCTTTGTGTGTGTGTGTGTGTGTGTGTGTGTGTGTGTATGTGTACCCTCGGAAAGGATATGGTATATCCTCAGAATGCACTTAATTATCTGAATGAATTTGAAATGGAAAAACAGCGTGAGATTTATAAATTTTATGTATGGTTGGTGAAATAAAACATCAGAAGTTTTGTTAAGCTTTTGATTCCAAAAATAGCTGATAGTGGGTTTATATGAAGGATCTCTTGTAATGTGAGAAACTTTTGGAAAGTGCAGTAGCTGGTGCTACTGTGAATATGACCTTTTTATAGCACACACAAGCCAGGATGATTCATTGTCATCTACCCATTACCTATCATGTCATGTTTCTTAGAGGTTTTTTGTTCTTGCCTACCATATTTTCAGGTGTTTGTTTACAAACACATTCTTCTGACATCTTTCCAGAATCATTCCCTTTCTTGTCATAAGCTAGAATGACTATTTTGACACTTTTGATCCTTGGAATATTTAAATGATGGCTAAGGTAGTTGTTTATGTGATTGCTGCCAATCTCTTTTGCAAGCAGGGGCTGATTCCTTTTCCATTTATGTATCCTTTTCTTCCTCTGGCCTTTCTTCAGTGTTTTGTGCCTCATACATAAATATGTGAAAGTGTAAATTAACACCAGAGTTAGTTATGCAAATGAATATAGGACAAAATCATTTGTGTTCATAGTTCTTTAGAATAAATAGTTCACTTAATTCATTTTCTCTTAGAAAGAAAATTAGACAGCTGATATACTTGTACCTGCTTGTATCAACATGTAAATTTGGAATAGTGAAAGTACTGATTCTGTTGTTTTAAAAACAGATGTTTATGTATTTATAGGCTTTAGAAGAATAAATAAATGTCTTCTAGGATGAGTTAACTTTCACATAGGTAAGTGGTAGTGGCATTCATCTTTGTACTTAAAACAATATAGTAACTTGAATATGTAGTTTTCATCAATTTTTTCTTTATTGATATTCAGTTTCTTAATGTTCTACTAATTATTGAAGTTACTATATACCAAGTATTTTGCTAGACTTAACATACTTCATTTTGTTGACTCTTCTTTTAAGTAACTTATTTATTTTTGTTGTTGAGAATATAGACAGCAAAACATATGCCAGTTTAACAGTTTCTACATGTACAATTCAGTGACACTGATTACATTTTTAAGTTGTGCAACCATTCTCACTCTCCTTTTTCGAGTTGTTCCACCCTCATTAACATAAACTCACTACCTCCTAAGTTTCCTATCTAATCTTTTGATTGCTTTTGTCAGTTTGATACCATATGGATAGCTCTTGAAAGAGCACAATGCTCAAGGCAGACATCTTTACCAATTAAGCTCAGCTATTGTTTGGTTTTAAGAAAGACTTAAAGGGATATTTTTGGTTTAAGGTTTACATTTTAAAGATTATCTCAGGGCAGTACTTTCAGGGATTCATACAGCCTCCATGATTCCAGAAAGTCTGGATTCCATGAGAATTTGCACTTCTGATCTGAATTTTCCCTCTTTTGATCAGGATTCTTCTATAGAATTTTGTATCAAAATTTATATAAAGCTTCATTGACTCTTAATTAAAAAAAAGGAGGGGAGGGGTGGAGTGGAAGAACACTAAATAGACAATAGATAAGCGGTGACTTTGGTGAAGAGTAAGACAGTACACAATACTGGGGAAGCCAATGCAACTTGTCCAAGGCAAGGTCATGGAAGCTCCGTAGACACATCCAAACTCCCTGAGGGACCGAATTACTGGGCTTAGAGCTGGGGAGATCATGGTCTCAGGGAACATCTAGCTCAATTGGTATAACATAGTTTATAAAGAAAATGTTCTACATTCTACTTTGGTGAGTAGCATCTGGGGTCTTAAAAGCCTGTGAGCAGCCATCTAAGATACTCCACTGGTCTCACCCCTTCAGGGGCAAGGGAGAATGAAGAAAACTAAAGACACAAAGGAAAGATTAGTCCAAAGGACTAATGGACCACAACTACCACAGCCTCCACCAAACAGAGTCCAGTACAACTAGATGGTGCCTGGCTACCACCACTGACTGCTCTGACAGGGATCACAATAGAGGGTCCTGGACAGAGCTGGAGAAAAATGTAGAAAATTCTAACTCATGAAAAAAGACCAGACTTATTGGTCTGACAGAGACTGGAGAAACCCTGAGAGTATGGCCCCTGGACACCCTTTTAACTTAGTAATGAAGTCACTCCTGAGATTCCCCCTTCATCCAAAGATTAGACAGGCCCATAAAACAAAATGAGACTAAAGGGGCACATCAGCCCAGGAGCAAGGACTAGAAGGCAGGAGGGAATAGGAAAGCTGGTAATAGGGAACCCAGGGTTGAGAAGGGAAAGTGTTGATGTGTCTTGGGGCTGTTAACCAATATCATAAAACAATATGTGTACTAACTGTTTAATGAGAAGTTAGTTCTGTAAACCTTCATCTAAAGTACAATTAAAAAAACAAAAACAAACCAGTTGCCGTTGAGTTGATTTCAACTTGTAGTGAACGTATAGGACAGAGTAGAACTGCCCCATAGAGTTTCCAAGGAGCAGCTGGTGGATTTGAACTGCCAACCTTTTGATTAGCAGCCGAGCTTGTAACCACTGCACCACAGGTGACTTTTAATAGTAATAGTAGTATTCTGGTTTTACTGCCCATGAAACGGAAGTTTACAAAAGTTATCTAATAATGATTTGCTGATGTATCGCTTTGCCCCTATTAAATTATAAATTCTTTCAAATTAGGGACCAAGTATTAATTTCTATCAAAATGTACAATTCCTGGCACATATTGAGTATTGAGTAAATCTGTGTTGTTTGTTGAAAATTATACAATAAGAGGCAGAACTGAGTCCCAGCTCACAACTTGCCTGAATTCAAAACCTATGTTATTCCCACTATTCCAGATCCTACGTCACTTCCTTGACATCTGTCCCTCCTAATATACCGTAGTATCTATACTTCTCTTATGCCACAATGTTCTGTGCTGTAGTTATTTTTTGTACATAGCTGATTTATCTTATATGATAGTCATTGAAGGCTAGGAAATATACCTCCATATTTATTAGGTCACTTCATCAGTTTTGCTTTTATTTATTCCACAAATACTTATTTAGCATCTACTGTGTGCCAGTTCTGTGCTAGGTGCTCGGAATATAGTGATAAACTAGACATTGTCTTCATGGAAACCTTTTGTTCTCCCAAGCACCTTAAATTTATTATTAGTATTAATGTTATTGTGGTTAAAAGTGAGGGGCCTGAAGTTCAACTGTCTGATTCTTCTGTTTACCAGCTGTGGGCATGTTAATTAACCTCTTTGTGCTATAGTTATTTCATATATATATATATATATATATATATATATATATATAAGAAAC